TTGAGTTTTTAGAAACGTTGCCACATCCAGGCTGATATGTCAGTTAGTAGATTAGTGACACGAGAGGACACAGAGTTGTGGAGTAGAAATTTGATAGATAGATAGATAGATAGATAGATAGATAGATAGATAGATAGATAGATAGATTTGAGTGTCATCGGCATGGTATTGGAAGCCATGTGAGGTTATTAACTGACCAAGAGAGGAGATGTAGATAGAGAAGAGAAGGGGGTCCAAGAACAGAGCCTTGGGGGGCCCCTACAGAAAGAGTAAGAGGGGGGGAGGAGTTAGATTTGTAGGTGACACTAAAGGAGCGCTTAAATGGGTTAGAGGAGAACCACGAGAAAGCAGAGTCTTGTAGCCCAAGTGAGTTTTTTGAGGAGCAGCAGGTGGTTCAACAGTATCAAAAGCAGCAGAAAGATCTAATAGCAAGAGTAAGGAGTAGCGTGTGGTCAGGGTAAGGAGCAGCGGAGGGTCAGAGTGAAGAGTAGCGGGTGGTCAGAGTAGGGAATAGTGGCCTTTCTTTTAGCTGTTATTTGGTCATTAGTGAGTTTTAGGTGGGCGGTTTCAGTGGAGTGTTGGGGGCGAAAGCCGGACTGTAAGGGGTCAAGAAGGTTGTGATCAGCGAGGTGGCGACATAGGCGGCTGTAGATGAGGCGTTCTAGGAGTTTGGATTGGGAATGGGAGTAAGGAGATTGGTCTGAGATTATTGTGGTCGGTAAGGTCCATTGAGGGGTTTTTGGGTATTGGGGTGACCAGGGCATGCTTCAGAGGGGAGGGAAATATTCCAGTAGAGAGTGAGAGATTGAAAATGTGAGTAAGAGAGTGTAGGATAGAGTATGAGGGTGACTGAAGTAGCGGTGAAGGAACAGGGTCCAGGGGGCAACCCCCCCACCACCATAAAAAAATAAAAAAAATACAACCCCTGTACATATAAAATAATACACCCCTACCCCACCATACACACACACACACACACATCTATCTATCTATCTATCTATAAAATACAATTCAGAGCCACCTCTCCTGCTTACCTTGTTGCACGGAGGAGGCTGTGAGGCTGCACGTCAGTCCCTGGTGATCCAGTGGTTGATTGGTACGGTCTGCTACCGTGTCTCTGACCTCCTCTGATGTACGGCTCTGAACCTTCTCTGACCACCTCTGATGTGCGGCTCTGAACCTTCTCTGACCTCCTCTGATGTACGGCTCTGGACCTTCTCTGACCTCCTCTGATGTACGACTCTGGACCTCCTCTGATCTCCTCTGATGTACGGCTCTCCACCTTCTCTGACCTCCTCTGATGTACGACTCTGGACCTTTTCTTACCTCCTCTGATGTATGACTCTGGACCTTCTCTGACTTCCTCTGATGTACAGCTCTCCACCTTCTCTGACCTCCTCTTATGTACGACTCTGGACCTTCTCTGACCTCCTCTGATGTACGGCTCTCCACCTTCTGTGATCTCCTCTGATGTACGGCTCTCCACCTTCTCTGACCTCCTCCGATGTACCATTTTTGACCTTCTCTGATGTACTGCTCTCCACCTTCTCTGACCTCCTCCGATGTGCGGCTCTGGACCTTCTCTGACCTCCTCTGATGTACGGCTCTCCACCGTCTCTGACCTCCTCTGATGTACGACTCTGGACCTTCTCTGACCTCCTCAGATGTAAAACTCTGGACCTTCTCTGACCTCCTCTGATGTATGGCTCTCCACCGCCTGTGATCTCCTCTGATGTACGGCTCTCCACCTTCTCTGACCTCCTCTGATGTATGGCTCTCCACCTTCTCTGACCTCCTCTGATATATACATTTTTTTATAAAAATAGATTTGTTTTCATTTAAAAAAGCTATTCATTTCATAAACATTTCATTTAAAAAAGTGATTCATTTCATAAACATAAACGTGTATTTATTTTAAAAGAGATTAATTTGTTAAATATATACGTTTATTTATTTTAAAGGAGAACTATGAGGTGAGTTAAAGAGATTGATTTGTTATATATATATATATATAATTTTACGATTGCAGTAGTTCCCGGCATAGGCAGATCTGCCCTGCTACAGCCGACAGACACAGGGTTGAATGTGGGACTCATGACGCGGTCCCACATACCACCGCCGCTGTGAAAGTGGGCGGAGTTAGGGCGGGGTACGATAGAATGTGGGACTACGTCATCAGTCCCACATACCACCGCGGTCATGATCCATGATATTACACCGGGATTATGGGCATGCCTGATCCCAACTAACACAATGAGGCAGTGCGGCGGAGCTATTGGCACGGACGGCTATTCCTACGCAATACATTGGGGTGGGGGCGGAGCTATCGGTACGTCTGCTCCTACCCAATACATGGGGCGGAGCTTTCGGCACGGCTTCTCATACAACACACATGGAGGCATGCGAGCAGGAAGTTGACAGTGAGCTCTGTGAGGCCGAGTCAGGTACACAGTGCTGGAGATTGGGCTCAGTACTGGGGGATGGGAGAATTTGAGGGTGTTTACTGGTTGCATCAGCTATACATCGGATCAGATAGTTCTATAGCAATTTTACTCTTGGTAACAGGGAAGCTGTTCTGAGAAGAATGTGTGCGCTGTTTATGAAGACCCTGGTTACCTTTGCTGTCATGCTGATTATAAGACTTTAGCACCCTCCTGGCAGCATATATGAAGCAGCATGACTGGTGGGCTTTAACGGTGAACTGCTACATCTATATATAGCTCTCACATGCATACAGCCGGTTGTGCTGCTCTATGCTCAGAGCAGGGCTGCGCTCCCTGTGCATTGACCAAGTTCCCAGATAGCAAGCAATTGAGCTGCAAGTTTGAAAATGACTTGCGAAACCATTGCAGACTTGTCAAGATTCACAATTTTGTTGAACGATTACAGCAAGTCTGCATTGCAAGCAGGGGCGTAACTAGAAATCCCTGGGCCCCATAGCAAAATTTTGTATAGGGCCCCCCCAACCTGCTTGAACTACAGCATATATTATCATTATTATATAATATGCAGTTTGCAATAGATCACTGTCCCTGAACGCAGGGTACGTGTGCCCAGAGACGGTGATCTATTCAAAACTGCATTTAATCATATCATGTACATTACGTGTGGACTGCCACTTGCAGATATGGCCGTTGTCACCCGGTCATTAACTTCAGAGGCCATATCTAAGTGGGACACCTGACATTCCTGTCACAAGAATCTATATTTTTCTGCTGCAGGAATGCCAGAACGTCCTGTGTAACAAGGGCCAATTCTTTAATCGTGCCTTCAATAAAGCTGGGAAATTTGGATTTACAAATGCACAAGGGGGGTTATAATTATAAAGTAAAATACCACTGGGGTTTATAATTTGTAACCCCACTTTCCCCTGCTTCACTGATATGGCAACAGTATTTTAAGTTGTTATTGCACTGCCGCACCAAAGAAGGATTACACAGTGCAATATAACCCACTGTCCCTCATTTCTTTGGTGTGGAAGAGTAAATATAACTTAAAATAACAGTTACACCAGTGAAGCCAGGAAAAGTGAGTTTACAAAGTGGGTGCACGGTATGAGCAGAGTGGGTGGGTGGACAGAGTGGGTGGCGATGTGGGTGGGTGCACAGAGTGGCCAGTGTGGATGCACAGCATCTCACCTCTCTTTCTCTGGCCAGTTCTAAGGGCTTGTTCACACCACATACAGTGCGTTCCAGCGCGATTAGCTGCTGGAACGCACTGTATAGCATAATAAACTCCTCCCTGTGTTCTGGTGCATGCAACAATTTTTCTGATCGCACTGGACCGCAACACAGGCACTGATGTGCCACGCATTCTGGTGTGGGCACTTGCACTGTGGGCAGGGGGGCGTGGCTGCAGTGCCATTGACTTCAATGCACCACCACGCTCCCTTTCCGCCCCAGGACGCAGGGAGAGTTTACTATGCGATAAAGTGCGTTCCAGATGCTAACCGCACTGGATCGCACTGTATATGGTGTGAACAAGCCCTAACGCTGCTTTCTCTACTCTACAACTCTAGGACCTGACTCCCCACTGTCCCACAACCCTCATTCAGTTACCTTAGAGTGGGAAGGGCGATTTGTATATTGAGTCATGGTAGAATTTACATATGAATACCGCAGCTCATTAATATGCACATCCCTCAATTAGCATATGAATGAGCAGCGGCCAGTTTTAATGGCTCCTGCAGCTCAGTAGATATTAGGATAAGACTGAGAGACTGCAGTCCCCGTCAGCTGAACCCCCTCCCCCCTTCCTGCTTACCTGTCGGCAGTCCTGGCCAGCAGAAGAAGCTTCTTCTCCAGCCGAACACAGGCATGAGATGACTCCGCCCTCCCCCCCGCTCTACACTGTGGCAGGGGAGAGGAGTGCAGGTGTCCTTAAGTTCCGTGTGACTCTGCACAGATTTTTACTTGCGTTCGCATGGAAGTTAAGGATCCCTGAGCCTCTCACCCGCTCCCGACCGGGCCCCCCTCTGGCCCGGGTCCCCTAGCGGCCGCGTAGGCTGCTATGGTGGTAGTTACGCCCCTGATTGCAAGTCTCCAGCTCAGCGTACTTGGCAAAAGTGCTGTACACTTGCAGAGCTTAGACCTACAGGACTTGCCAAGCAAATTTGCTACAAATTCAAAAAGTGTCAACTAGAACTTGTACTGCAAGTGTTCTGCAAGTCTACAACTTGCCAGGAATGTGTGCAGCAAGAATTACAATTTAACCCTGCCACAAGTTTGTGGCAAGTTATCCTTGCTGTCTGGGCTATCTCTGGCAGCTGCTGATCACTGTTTATGATCGCCAATTGATGGGGTTACTTCCCGAACATGTGACCACTGTGACAGCTAATCGCAATGATCACTAGATGTGTCTGAGACTCTTTGCATTCAGAACCCTTTAAAGGAGAACTATGGTGTAATCTTTTTTCCCCAAAGTTCTCTTTAGGGTCACAGGAAGACATATACTAACATCCTCCTGTGACCCAAAGCTATTGCCTGCCATATTCTGAGAGCACCACAGCTGGGACAGATCTGACAATACTGTGGAGATCTACCCAGCTGCGTGAGTGACAGCTGGCTCTGCCTATCTAGAGGCAGAGTCAGCTGTGCCCGCTTCCCGACCATTAGAGCTGATGAGTCACACATGTCGTGGCGTGTCAGTTTAAATGTCACACATTTGGCTCTAACTATGGGGATGAACGTAATTCACTCACCTCATAGTTACATAGTATTTGGGGTTGAATAAAGACATACGTCCATCAAGTCCAACCCATATAGGTCCACGCATCATCTCATTCTTAGGGATACTGGTATCCCTGGATATTGCGGTCCCTCAAGAAATTGTCCAAACATTTCTTGAACAAATCTACACTCTTGGCTGAAATCACTGCCGATGGCAGCGAGTTCGAGACCTTAACCGCTCTTACTGTAAAGAACCCCCTTCGCCCATTGTGCTGGAATTTTTTCTCCACCAACTTTAGGTGGTGGCCTCTAGTCTTTGTAATGGAGTTAATCTCAAACAGTTTGTTGCCAATGTTGCTGTCACCATTGAACATCTTGTACATGAAAATCACATCCCCCCTTAATCTCCTTAATTCCAGCGTAAACATGTTTAAGGTCAGAAGCCTTGTCTCATAGCTCTGGTCCTCCATTCCCCTAATTAGTTTTGTTGCCCTCCGCTGGACTCTCTCCAGTTCAAGGACATCCCTTCTCCTTCAAGGTCCCCTTGACACCGTTTTCCACTGCAAGGACATCTGAAAATGAATGTGTGCGAATGGGAACAGTTCACACCAGTGCTTTGCCTTGGACTGCCATCCACTGGAAAAAAAAAAATAGACCACACATTTTTTCATCTAAATGTAACACAATGGACTGGTGTGAACTGCTGACGCATGTCAATGCAAGACAGAACCTCGTATAGCTTAGTGTAAAAATCAAACCAACCCCCCCCAAAAAAAAATGCAACACAACGGATGTCAACACAGTATGGAAACTCAAAGTCAATGTACCAGTTGACTCTAATTTATGGTTCTGATTCCGGTGTGAAAGCACCCTAAATGGCTGACGGGATATGGTGGAAAGAGGTTAGGAGGCCTTGAATGAGAAAAAACAAATACTGTATGGTCCATTTAGATCTTGTTGAGACGGGCTGTTTTTACCGCCAACCAACAAGCTAAAATAGTGGCCGCTCAGGCTTCTATACATACAGCAGCAAATTTCACACAGCATGTCACTTATGCTGAGTGGTGGCCCTTGGCAAATGCAATTATTACAATCAATGGGTCTCTGGTGCAGTATTGCAATTAAAAATCCCAAATAAATGGGAAAAAAAAACCCCGCCATTAATGAGGTGGCAGTATTTCCTCCTGAATCCCGGACAGCTGCTGCTCTCCTTGTAATCCGTTTTCTCTCCATGTACATACAAGATTCTTCAATAGTGGGTTTTAAGTAATTTTCAGGCCTAAAATGTGGAATATAACATGGGTACAAAAAATGAAAAAAAGGCCTCAGTCATGAAGGGGTTAAATTAAATGTTTATGATGTACAGCTTGGAATGGCTTAGAAAAATCCAAATATACAACATCCACTGCCTGCCTTCGTCTAGATTTTTTTCTCACTTCCTCATGGAATGATAAAAGATTGGTCTGACAATAATGGTCTTCCATAAATCTATGCTGGTTGTTACTCATGATACCTTTGCTGCAAACAGTTTCTGGGATATAGTCCCTTGAAGATGTATATACTGAAACATTTGAAAAAGTAACTACATCTGTAATATGGAAGAGATGGTTTTAACGTCTGGTATACTATTGATATTATGTCACGGCTGGACAAATTCCAGGAGCCAGGTCACCAATGCAGATTATTTGACATGTGCTTTCAGTATCTGCTTTTGGATGACTGGAGTTGAGTTTTTAAGGGGAAAGCGTATAAATACTTTTGTATTTTTCTTCTGATGCTCTATTGATTTTTTTTTTTTTAAGAGCGCTCCAAGATTCTGATTCACCTTCTGGAAGGAAATGCCTTTGTGTGGAATGCAGAAGATGCTCGTAAGATACGGGAGAAGCATGGCCTGATGGGGAAGCTTGTGGGAGCTTTGGTGAGAAAACCCATGCAGAATACACGGCTGGGCCTTCCACTAGAACTTCTACCTGAGGAGACCAGGCTGCTGGTAGAAATTGGGGCAGCAACACTTGTATGCAGATGCTTCAAAGAGAAGAAACATGCACATCCCAGTAATTCACCTATGGTATGTATTGTTAACATTACTAACTTTGTATTCTTACTGCATGTAAAGTAGGGATGTCCCGATACCACTTTTTCAAGACCAAGTACAAGTACTGTCCCTCATGTACTTGCCGATATCAATTACCGATACTTTTTCTTAAAGGGACATGTGACATTTTTTCTAAAACTAGAGAAAGGGGGGGGGGGGGGGGTACAATAGCCAGCCTGCTATTGCAATTTAAAATATCTAATAGCAGGCTGTCTATTGTTATTGTTACAAGTGTCAATTCCTTTTCCACTTGATGAAACTGTTTGCTTTGGTGGTATATCTCAGTGTAAAATGTCCGTGCTCCTTATGTGTTTTAATAATAATGCTCTGACCAGACCCACACAGAAGTTTTCCCTCTCAATGAAAGAAGAGAATGTCCGTTCCTGTGAAGGCAAGATTTACAGCTTCTCTCCCCCAGTGAGCACACTGAACGGACATTCTTTTCTTACAATGAGAGTGAAAACTGCTGTGCAGCAAGGAGCACGGGCATCTCACACTGACATATATCACCAAAAGGAAACCGATTCATAAAGTTGAAAAGGACGGGACACGGAGGAGCAGCAGCAGCTAAGATACAGGGGGAAAGGGGGCAGCGGGGGAACTCACAGCTGCAGTCTCTTCTGCCTTCTCGTGCTGGCTACAGCGGTCTGTGAAAGGGACACCGAGCTCTGCAGCCAGGACCAGCAGGGAGAAGAGACTGTCCACACAACACTTACCCCCGCCATGCTGTCACACTTCTGGAGAGGTCAGAGCGGAGAGGGAGCCTCGTTTGGTGCAGAGGTGTTCCGGGGGAGGGGCTATGGGGTCAATGGCCGAAGCTAGTTAAAAAAATGTAAACGGCCAGTATCTGATCTAGGCATCGGGGCATTTTCAGGAGTACAAGTACTTCTGAAAATGCCCTGTATCGGCCCCAATACCGGTACTAGCATCGTTATCGGGACATCCCTAATGTAAAGTATACCACTGGGAGGAGAATATGATGCATTTATCATACATTGCAGAGCTGCATGCTGTGATTTTTAGTAAACGTGGTTAAAGGTTCGCTTTAAGGACCAGAAAAATAGTGATTGGAGGGGTCTTTAATGTGGACAGGCGACCATATATTATAGTTGCGGTGCTGTGGAGAAGTGATCTAGAAAGATTTTGAATATGGAGCCTATCCAGTGCAAATCTGAATGCAGCTTGTTTCAAGGAATCAGCCATATTTAGAATTAGGGCTGCAACAACTAATCGATTAAATCGAGAATAATCGATTATGAGAATAGTTGGGAATTCTCATAGAGAGAGATTGATTTTTAATGCTACCAATCGATTAGTTGAAAAAAAATAAATAGGGCAACCGATAGATTATGAAAATATTCGTTAGCTGCAGAAAAGTAATGCGAGAGGCCAATGGCCTTTTGTCTACTAGCACAGATACGTTTCTGGACCAAATTATTTTTAAAAAGAAGCTACATGCCAAACACAAAATTTAGTAATGAATATATAAAGTGATTGACT